ATGCATTTCTAGGCTAACATGGATTATTTATGCTGGGAAAGATAAGCAAAGGAAAACGTCACATGCATATAAGTGTCATAGTTTCGCACTCTGTGCATCAGATCTGGCACAACTTCAGAGACTGGCCTCTCGGTCTAGATTATGCAATCGAACTCACCCACTAAACATGTCCTGATATCAGAGCGACCAGCCTCGCTCGCGCAGTACGCCAAGTGTCAACACTGCGTGTGTATGCATGATTTAAGTTTCTTCCATCGGTTTCCCCCACTGTTAACATTTTGTTTAAATAGGATGCCATGTGCTTTTCTTATACGAATATGGGGTTTATGTAATGCGTATATTAAATAAACGTATATCTTTAAACCTACTCAGAATGTGGTAGTATTTATAGTATTTTTAGATTTTTCTTGTTTTAGAAGTATATGTTGATTGCACTGAAATCATCTTGTAAGTTGTGCAGTCAGTGTTGGAGAGGTGCTGTGAGTGAGTGTGTGCGCCGCAGGAGGGGTGCAGAAAGCGGCCAATGAGATCCACAGTCCCGGCGACACTTGAAAAGCAGGGCGTAACTTTAAGTAAGTTTGAGAGCAGCTCCTCCTCTTCTTCACGCGTTGTCCTCAAGCTTATATGTGCGGGAGAGTAAAGCAGACTCTACTGTTCTGGCTCGGCACTGCGCGGTGGGAGAAGCAGCCTCGCAACAAAAACACACAACGAGGAACTCAGCCTTCCTTCTCCGAGTTTCAGACCACATCTGAGGCTAGCCTTGTCTCTTGCACAAAGTCTAAGCCCGTGGCAAACTAAACTCCTTCGCATCCAAAGGCTCCAGGTCGGTCCTCAAATGAGAGATCATCTGCGACTGTCTTCTTCTGAAGAAACAGACATGTCTGCGACCCTCCTGTCCGCTCTCTACGACATCGACATGCTGTACAAGGTACTTTGCTGATTTAACAAACCAACTGCTTGCATGCATCTGATCTCTGCTGGGACTTTTTGACGATTCGAGAAGTTTTAGCTGTATAACAAATGCATGCATGGCTGAGACGAGTACATAAATAGTTTTGCAACTACTTTGCATTGATTTTAACTTTGCTTCTCTTCTTTCCTCCTCTCTGCACAGCAGGAGAAGAGCCTCAATATGAACGCCATACACATTAACAGCATGCTGGATAAGAAAGCAGTCGGGGCCCCGGTAACAACCTCCAGCAGCAGCAACTGCAACTCGTACGCGTCAGGATTCTTCCGTCGAAACTCCAC